ACATATACATATATATATTATTACTATACATATATATATATATAGGTTATAGGTCATATATATATATATATATACGTTATAGGTCATATATATATATATACGTTATAGGGCTTTTATCATTTCAAATATCATTTCATTTCGCCCCAGTTTTACCCTGATTATAGGTCCAGAGATATTCTAATAAAACTTGCTAATCATTCTCACATGATTATTTAATAGTTCATAAACTGCTTATATTTTTTTATTCAATCGAGTTCAATGGATAATTTAAGTCACTTTTAGACAATTACTTTAACTTTTTTTTACAATAATAGCAATATTTAAGCTTCATAACTCTGTTTATATCCTTAGCGCAGACATAACAGATATATTTCTAGAATATTATCTTTATACATGAAAAATAAACGGATTATATAATGTTTTAAGTAATTGGTTTAGCCTAATAAACGCCGAGATATATTCATGTTATGGCTAATCTGCAATATAATAGGTAAGAAATAGGATCTTTCATTTTCAATGAGACACGATAGTAGATGTCTGTTTAACAGAAGTGTCCTTATTAAACACAGTTTCTTTACTAGCTGTTCAAATACACCTGCCATTAGAATTTATCAACACTAAAAATTGAAAAAAATATATTTGTTTAGATACGCTGGATACAAAATGTTCAGTGTTTCGATGAAGTGTATTTCGTATTAAGAGTACTTTGTAGTTATCATTGTTTTCATTTAATTAAAACTTGCCGTGTCTCACCAAGTAGACTTCTTCCGTTATCAGCGTCTGAAAAACTTGCATTGCACAGACGTGTTATGTGTTGTAAACACATATAGATATTTCGTTTTAAAGAAAACTTTTCAAAAACTCAAATTGCACAACTTAATGCAATTTTTCTAATGGCTTGTGGTGTTCGAGTGTGCTTTTTTAGCATCGGTTTAGTTGTTATGTCATTTGGCCCACTCAGATAAACGGTTTAAAGTCTGACGATAGCTTTGATATACGGAAACATCTGTTAGCTGAGTTCTTGCATAGATCTTAAAATATAACTCTATTTTGGAAGCCATCTTTTTTAAAACACATAAACCTGTCCTTTGCCGCCAAAAAGAATTCCTATACAATCTACACATCCGTCAGTAGGTCTGTGACATTTCCTGATTGGTTAAAGGACATGCCAATCAGTGATTTCCTTACCGGCCTACGTTGATCTGACTCATTTTATAAGCTGTATCATTTCCTATAGATCATTTTTCTAGACTGTTCTGCTATGATTGGTGTCTGGCGAAAAGCTTCAGCAGATATTTCCTTTTCAACATCTCAACCAACAATTGATCCAGTTATCAACGCTATTTTCAAGTTTTGAAAAACTCGACTTTCAAGATCTACGTATCTACATGAGCCGATGGTTCCATTTATCAACATTATATTTTAAGATCTGTGCAAGAACTCGGCTAACAGATGTTTCCATATATCAAAGCTATCTTCAAGTAACTATTTCAGTTAGTGAAATACTGCAAGTGATGGTGTCACTGTAAAAATACTCACTA